GGTAGCAGTCGCCAAGAACATCACTGGAGTTCGTATCACCGTCGACCTCACCAAGCTGAATAGCCAAGTTTTCCGCCCGACCCACCCTTCACCGACACCCTTCACCGCTATACGCAGTGTGGACCCGAAGGCAAGGTATTTTACTACAGCAGATGCCTTATGTGGGTACTGGCAGATGGAACTTGCTGAAGAAGATCAGCACCTCACGACGTTCATCACACCGTACGGCCGATTTCAGCACTGCAGAGGACCTATGAGTTTCGCGGCTACAGGCGATGCTTTCTTCCTCCGTGGTGACATGGCCCTTCAGGGTGTGGCGAACTGTGTCAAGGTCATCGACGACGTGCTCGTATATGACGAGGATTACTCCACGCATCTTGAGCGTATTCACCAGATGCTCACCAGGCGCCGCAAGTACGGGATCACCCTCAACAAGGATAAGTTTGTGGTCGCCGCACCTAGTGTGAACTTCTGTGGGTACACCCTCTCAGGCAAAGGCATCTCGGCTGATCCTGGAAAGGTCAGCGCGATCCGGGACTTCCCAACTCCTGCCAACCTGACCGACCTCCGCTCATTCATGGGCCTGGTAAACCAGTTGGCTGAGTTCACCCCCGACATCGCTGCTGCAGCACAGCCTCTACGCCCCCTGATGAGCCCCAAGAGAACATTCACCTGGACAGCTGACCATGATGAGGCATTCCGTCGCGTCAAGACAGCTCTCCTTAGCCCACCTGTTCTCGCTTCCTTCTACCCGGCCCTGCCAGTTGTCCTCTAGACTGATGCCTCTCGCCTCTACGGGATTGGATATGCTCTGCTACAGGACCACGGCAATGGACGCCTTCGTCTGGTTCAGTGTGGCTCTCGGTTTCTCACTGACGTCGAGACTCGCTACGCCACCATCGAACTGGAGCTGTTAGCCGCCGTCTGGGCCATGTCCAAATGTAGGTTGTATCTGATAGGCCTACAACACTTCAACCTCATGACAGATCATCGGCCACTCATCCCGATCCTGAACCACTACTCCTTGGATGCGGTCGAGAATCCCCGCCTCCAACGCCTTAAGGAGAAGATCTCGCCCTACCTCTTCACAGCTGTGTGGCGTGCTGGCAAGCTGCTCTGCATCCCTGATGCTTTGTCACGAGCCCCAGTCAGCCACCCCACACCAGAGGACGAGATCGCATGTGCTGATGCTACTGCACACCTCAGGACTGTAGTGACCGTGAACGCCGTCATCTCAGAAGAGTCTCCACCGCAGGACGCCGACAGGACTCTTCAGGAACTCCGAGCCGCGGCAAGAGCGGACCCTTCGTACATCCGTCTACTGAACTGCGTGACCTCGGGATTTCCCTCCAACCGGTACGACTTACACAGCTCTTTACTCCCATACTGGAAGATGCGGGACGACCTCTATGCTGATGGCGACCTCGTCTTGTATGGAGCAAGAGTTGTGGTTCCTGCCGCCCTCCGCCGCCGCACCCTAGCCCACCTGCACGACAGCCACAGGGGTGTGGAAGCTACGAAGCGCCGGGCGAGACAAGCTGTTTTTTGGCCAGGCATCGACTCCGACATCGCTAGTTCCGTTCAAGTCTGCGAGCCATGCCAGGTGCTGCAGCCTAGTCAGCAGCAGGAACCCCTCATGAACAACGACAACCCTACGAGGCCCTTTGAGTCCGTCTCTGCGGATTTCTTCGTTGTGGCGGGAAAGTCCTTTCTCGTCATCGCCGACCGGCTCTCAGGGTGGCCTGTTGTCGTTCCCTGCGGAGGCAACACTACTGCCTCTCATACAGTACGTATGTTCTGTCGCTACTTCCGGGAAGTTGGTGTCCCTCTCCGCCTGAGGACTGACGGCGGGCCCCAGTTCACCAGCAACGACTTCCGGGACTGCATGGAGCGATGGGGAGTTCATCATGTGGTGTCCTCGCCACATTATCCCCAGTCCAATGGACATGCCGAGGCTGCCGTAAAGTCCGTCAAGCATCTCATCCTCAAGACGGCACCCTCAGGCAACATTGACTGTGAGAAGTTTGACCGGGGTTTATTGGAATTGCGGAATACCCCCAACTTCACAGGTCGCTCCCCAGCACAGATGTTATACGGCCACCCACTACGGTCATGTGTCCCTGCCCATCCTGAGTCCTTCTCGAGGGAGTGGCAGGCCAAGACCGAGGACTGCGATTGTCGTGCAACCGCCAGTGCTGACCAGGTAAAGGCACAGTACGATCAGCATGCCCGACCCCTTCCCAGGTTGAGTATCGGGCAAACAGTTCGGGTTCAAGACCCGACGTCTCACCGCTGGGACAAGGTCGGGGTTGTAATGGGCTGCGTCAAGACCAGGGATTACGAGGTCCGTCTCCCTAGTGGTCGGGTATGGTGGCGGAATCGCCGCTTCCTTCGTTCAGTACCGTCCCCTAGTGGTGAACCCCTCCCCCACATCCCTGTGAACCCTTGCTTGGACGAGAAAAGTAAGTCCTCATTCAGTGACCCCCCAGTTTTCCCACGTCACTCTCAAAGGCTCCTGGAAAAAGAGTCCGCTCGAGATTGCACTACGAGCGTGAGGGGGAGGGAGGTGTAGATATATGAGAGGAATATGGCTGTAATATGTAACTCTGTACTATTTACCATTATTGATTCAGGTCTCTGTATTATATGTTTTATAATCATACTCCCTTTTGTCACCAAGTGTTAGTCCAGGCTTTGGGCACATGCCCGCTGTACGCGCATGCGCAGACAGAGATACCCAGAGAGATTCCAAGACAGGATGCTGTTTACCCCTGTCTTAACTCCTTTTTGTGTTTGTACCAGAAATAGAACTTACGGACTTGACATCAGTGTGTTTCCTTTACCCCTGAGTGTAAGGACCACCTGAGTATCCCACAACCCCCTCCCAAGACAGGTGTACCCCATCCCTAGCATAAAGGTCCCTTCTGCCGTAGAAGTTGTCCCAGTTGTCAATGAATGGGACTGATATTGACTTGCAATATCCGTCAAGACGGTCGTTGACACAAACCGCCCTTGACAACCATTCACTGCCGACTCTCCTTCTAGGCAGGACACCACATATGATAGGGATCCCTCCCTTAGCCCTAATATGATCTATAGCTGTCTTGAACTTATCAAGAAGCTCCTCACTCCTACACCGGCCAATATCAATGCCTCCTGCACTGAGGCAGATAATGGGTTTGTTCCCATTACCAGACAAGATATTGTCCATCCTGTGAACTAGATCCCCCACCCCAGCCCCTGGCAAACACACCCTCATCCTATTTTTAATTTTACCACAAAAGTCTCTGTCCAGGTACCTTACCTGTTAGTCACCAACAATTAAAGTTTTTATACCTTCCTTGTCAGCCCTGTCCCTGACTGTACTAACGTCTATTTCGTCTATCAAGGGACTGAACAAGTTGGTACACTTAGCTGTTGTTGTCGTTGTTGTCGTATCCTTGGTGTTTTTCTTCACCACCAGTTTGGTCGTCCCTCTCCTCACAACCTTCCATTCCCCAGAGTTATCGTCATTCACCGGCTTTCCTTGTCCCGTTTCTTCCTTCAGCGTTGCTATCTTTTCCTTTAATTTCAAGTTTTCTAACTCTAATTTCAGGGTTTTTTCCTTGGATTTCTGTAACTCTGCCCACAGAAGGGCGTAACCCCGTTCACCAGTAGCACTAGCCATATCTGATAATTATCCCTGGGAGCAGAACTAAGCAGCCGTGACCTTTCCTCGTGTGAGGTCAGAACACATATGAGTTGTTGTGTGGTACAGGTTGACAATCCCTTATCCGAAATCCTTGGGGCCAGAGGCATTTCGGATTTCGGAATTTTTCGGTTTTCAGAATGTTTTTTTTTTTTTAGCCCACCCAGGCACAAGTCACTGACCCACATTGGGGCCTGGGGGGCGAAAATATAATAATAATAATAATAATAATAATAATAATAATAATAATAATAATAATAATAATAATAATAATAATAATAATAATAATAATAATAATAATAATAATAATAATAATAATAATGATAATAATTCATAGGTCTAGGTCGTGTTTCTCACTTTTTATCTTTTTTCATTTTTGTATTTCTTTATTATTATTTATTTTATTAATACAGTATTATTGTTATTATTATTAATTATTATTATTAATTATTATTATTATTAATATTATTATATTATTTTATTTTGGTGTATTTTTACCCTATGTGGGTCAGTGATCTATGCCTGGGTGGGCTAATCCGTGTTAAAAAAAAAAAAAAATTGCTCCACAAGAAAACTTATGGTTTTCAGAGCTTTTCGGTTTTCAGAATTTTGGATAAAGGGTTGTCAACCTGTATTCAATTCCCAGTATTTTGTTGACATGCAGTAAACTCCCTCTAATCCAGACTAAATCGGGGAAAGGCCTGTTCGGGTTGGGTGGGGTCTGTATTGTCCATATTGCAGGTTGGAAAATTCCAGAGGGTGTGGGGTTTTCTGAATCGAGCTACATAATTATACAGTAATAATAATAATATTATTATTATTTATTCAGTAAAATTGTCATATAGGTTTACAATTGGCTAGGCAAGTATATAAGCAATGCAATTATTCAAGTCAAGACACATATAGACAAGGTAGTTATACAGTGTATGCAGGCTGTGGTTGTACAATACAGGTAAACCTCTATTTACAACGTCCCCATCTACGATAACTTGCATTAACGATGCTGATATATTAAGACCACTCCCTTATTCACAATGTAAACAAACCCATTATTTTATCTTTTTTTTTATATCAAAGATACTGTGATACTAAGTAAGTTTACTTATAAACCCTGGAAATTTATTATTGCCAATAATTCATTTTGGTACTCTGGTAAATTGGTGGCTGGAAGTGGGCCCCCAGTGGCAGTGGGTCCGGGGCAACTGCTCTTTGGATAAGATGACCCGGAACACCCTTAGTCACTGCCATATTTCAATATTGCACATTGTTAGCCTCACTGAATAGATATTTACACAGTTTCTATTGGTTATAGGGCATTGTGCACCAGCTGGTACAAACACTTCTGAAGTGGTATGATCCAAGATTTGAGGAAGAAGTACAGCAGGTGATGCAGGCATTGTCAATGGCATACACAGAAAAGGAAAAGAGAGAAGCAAATTTACTACATGCCTTCATCCATGCCAGTAACCTGACATCTACCACAGAACTAACAGGCTTCAGGGACCACATAAATAATCTGAAAAATGTATGTATCTTATGACTTTGTCTCATAAAGGAAATGATTTACAGTACTTGACAAAATGGTGTTGAAGTTTACTGTACAGATCTACAATTTATGTAGTTATCTAAATATGGACATATAACTTTAAAGAACTTTATTGACAATTGACTTCGATAATTTCTTCCCACAGTCCACAGATACTGCTAATAAACATGAAAGTCATATGAACGATTTGACTTCTTTAGTGGCAGATCGGTACTTGCACCTGGCCCAATATGCTGCCTGCCTTCATCAAATGACCTTCACATTAGCTGTACTTAATCCTAGCTATGCCTTGTCTCTCAGCCTCATACAGGACAACCTTGCCCATAAGCTAACACACTTGATTCAAGAGACCCCTAATGGTGACGAAAGGAAAAGTGAAGGTATTGTGAATAAAAATCTCCATGACTTTTTCATTTTTTCTCATACACAGATTTATTTTTAATAGTTTACTGCATGTAATTCATTTTGACTTACAGCTGGTAAAAAAGAGAACAACTAATCTACTATTGTATGTCTTTTTTTTTATAATGGATATTAATGTTGCAGAACAAGAAGAAGAAATAACGGAAGTTGTTACAAGTTCAGTTTTTGAACTTATAAACATGAGACTTCAGTTGCAACATAGACTGATTGTTACTGTCTGCTTTGCTTTAGCCAAACTGAATATGAAGTGTGACAGTGAAGACTATATAAAGGCATTTTTAGTCCCCATGAATGTTGAACAAATGTTATGGAAAGATGTAAACAGACCTGGAGTCACTAAGAAGCAAGAACACATAAATTCCAGTAAGGAGGAAAAAGATGAAGAAATTATAGAGGAAAAAGTTGAGTCTGAGGACTCTATTTCAGATTGGATACCTAAACAGTGTGACTGGAAGGTAAGGAAAGTGATGTGTTTTAATTGATTATAATGAATATTTATTTAGATTAATGTATATTTTTTAGAAGATGGATTACAATGGTTAATTCCACAAAAACACTTTCTAAAAAAAGCAAAAACATATGATATTAGTCAGTGCAATTTTCATGCTATGGCAACAACACAAGATCCGATTTTGCACCTTGATCACCACTTATCAAAACTTAACCTTGAAATTATCTGAGTCAGGACAAGGAGACTTATGTTCAGTTTATTCCCAACGTCTGAGTGTTCAATCTATCAACACTGATGGCTGTCACTAATTCACAATCATTACATTTCTCCCATGGCAACTTTAACTCATACAAAGAGAGATCAGCAGAGACAATTTCCTTTTATTCTTTACTCTATCCCCTTTGCCATTAGTCTGTATTATACCATGTAAGATTATTATTCCTATTCATTGATGGAAATATCAAGTAGTGCATCTCTCATGGTCAAGAGTGGTCGTGTGCTGACTCATCTCAGTGAGAACTGCAGTAGCCTATTTCCTGCACCACCTGAGCAGCTGGAGGAGTCATTGGCGTCACAGCTGTTGCTGTGGTTATCCCGGGACTCACACTCATGGCCTACTGTCTTCTCCCTCACAGATGTTCTGCAACAAGTAAGATATTATAAAGGCAGGTAATTTTACCATTGCTACAAAATAAAAGAAGTCCCAGAATTATGAAAGGGTTATGCTTATAAGAATCGTAATGCTTGAAAATTTATGAGAAACTTCAAGTCTATGTGGAGGGGAAGGGGAATGAGTAAGCTGATACTGTGGCGAAAGCAGCTGCTTCTCGTCCTGTGGCACATCATTCCCCTCTACCTGCCTTTGATATGAAGCCAGTAATAAGAGCTGCCATCCACTCGAGTTGGCAATGCAGGTGGGATGCTGTAGGAGCAAACAAACTCCTGACATCCACCCTACATTGGGTGCTTAGGGATATCAGGGACTCTCACATTGCCAGGAGACTGCTTTGGCCCGCCTTCATATAGGCCACACACGACTAACTCATGGTTTATTAAAGGAAAGGGCGCCCCCTCCCCATTGTGATGACTACCTGGTCCCATTGACTGTTTGACACCTTCTGGTTGAGTGCTCCGGTTTCAGGGATCCTTGTCTCTATTTGCTGCATGGGGTCTCTCCTTCATGGAGGAAACTGGTCTTCTACGCAAGCTTTGAGTTAAAATGGTTTATACAAAAGTTCTATGTTATTTATTAATTATGTGTTTTACCTTGCATAATTTGATTTTAGTCTTTTAAGCCGTTACTGTATTATAATTTGGTAACATATGACCTAAGCTGTTGCGTTGCCAGGGATGTAATTACCACAATCAATCAATCAATAATTAATTGTGATGCAGTGTGAGACCACTGGTCCCGCCAAGACGTATGGTTTTACTTTTGAAGTGACGCACCAAAAATACGTCTCCATATATATATTTTGAGATCTCTTACTTTCACTGGATTTGATTTTTCATGAGGTTTTATATAACAAGGAAATGCTACACTTATCCAATTAACATTTTATTCTTCCCACTAACATCAGATCAAACTATGAGATACCGAACACATCAGCATTCTGACAGTGAACATATCTTTTAGTCGGTATCTTGCTACTGATTCACATAGCTATCCTGTGAGCCGTGATAACTAAAATACTGCATGTATTTTATTTTTAGCTTAGTTAGCCGCTCTTAATACAGTACAGTATTGCATGTTGTTTTAGTTTGTTTTTATTAACTGACTAGGTTTGGTATGGGAAGCACTGAGATGACTGTGTCAGCACCTAAGTACAGGTATCTTTTGATGCTATAAAAAATTACAAAGAATTACAACGTCAGAATTTTCTTAAAGAAATCAGCACCTCTGACAAAAAAATTATTTTGTAACAATATTTAAAAAGACATTTCTTTGTAAATTGGGGACTGCCTGTATCTGTAGTGCTACTAGGAATAGAAATTAAAATTTTAATGATGGTTGAGGGGCAGGATCATGCACAGCCTCACCCTAAGGTGGTTCTAGAATGATCGAGTAAATGGAAGAAAGACGTAAAAGTAAGAAGAAGAAACATGTAAGAGGACTAACAAGGCATGCTTGTATATAGTATTCATGTATCCTTTACTGTTGTAATATGCAGTCAGGGTCAAAAGTAACCATCCACTCTTATCACCTAACCCCAGGGTCCTTTCTGCACGGTAAGTCACATGGGGTGGAGATGGGGAATGGTCAACATGGGGCAGGGCCGTTTGTTGGGGTAAGGTGTGAGGGAGGGTGGTATGTAATGCAAGTTCCTCATCAGAGAGGGAGAGGATTGAAGAAAGCCGGGAAATTCATGAAAGAAGGAAGGGGAGGATGGATGTAATTTTTTCCATTATACTGTCTTAGGTTTATATGCCTGAAAGAATGAATAATAGATGAGAACCTTTATGTTATGATTATTATAATGTGCCACCCATTTCCTTATTTATAATCTTTTCAGGTTATTATTCAGGTTTAAAACAAGGGTAATTAGATACAGTATACAAAATAATGACGATATGGGGAGAAATATTGAATAAGAGGTTGGAAATCATATTTATATTTAATATTTACCAACACAGGTCATACAGAATCTCATTAGCCTGTTCAATGCCCTCCTCACCTGTCAATCGTGGTCTACCCGGCCTAAAATGCAACTGCCTAGCTTATACTACAGATGAGCAAGGGGTGACCTAATTAAGGTGTATAAACATCTCAAAAGGCACTATTCAGTTGAGTGTCCATACCTGGAGCTGGCGGATGCCCGCCCCACAAAGGGTCACAGCTCAAGGTTGAAGAAGCCACATGTCCAGAAAACTGTGAGGGCAAATTTTTTTGGAGTGAGAGTTGTGAACTCTTGGAACACTCTGCCAAAAAGTGTTGTGACGGCACCAAGTGTGAGCTGTTTCAAGACCAGACTTGACCAACACTGGAGCAGGTTCAGATACATTCAGAAGCCAGTGCCTGCCCAGTACTTGCCAACAGTGCATAACAGAGACGTGACTGACCGCTCAAGTGGCAGGTTTCCCAAGTTGCCAGACTCCTCCCAGCGGGTGAGCCAACATCTCACAGTGATCCCAAACTCCCTTGCAATTTCTGATACGTTGTAGCCAGCCACGCACAAACAGATAATTTTCCAACAACTCATCAATCGACATTTTTAGTATCCATCCTGGGCTGGGTCTGCAGCAGTGGCCAAATGCCATTGCCATTACCACCTCACCGCCTTGCTTTGATATTCACAACTCTAATAAACATATTGCAGGGTGGACAAGTCACATTCTATCCAACAATTCATTCTGATTTTTTTTTTGCCACCTAAGAGTGTTTTTTGTTTTTTTTCAAGAACAGTAGTGGCGAGAGGTGGAAGTGATCAAGTATAACAGCCTAGTTCAGTGTTAACAGTGGAGAGTAAGCCATGCCCTCTCCTCTCTTATGTTGTCATATCAGGGGTTTTCCCTCACGGAAGTCAAACGCCTCTTACTGCCATACCCATGAGCTCAAAGCCTGTTTACACGACAGGTTACAAGAGGGTGGGGGAGATATTGATGGAGGGAGAGCTAGAGGTGGCAGACCCAGGTAAGGTAGGAAGGCACAAGCCAAGGACAACATACAGTATACTCTCGATTTAACGGAATCCGATATACAGTAACAAACTCTCGATTTAGCAGAAGGGAATTTTTTCATTATTTTTCTCTCAATTTAGTGAACTAGTTCTCTAAATTGAGATTAAATCCGTGAATACGCTCACACCTACAGACACACACCTCAGACACATAATACAGTAAAACCTACTTCAGCCTATGGCAAATGTACTAAATGTATAAAAATTATATATAATTATATAAAAAAACACCATATAAGATTCACCCCCATTTGAGCAGGAGTATTTTGGAAACTGTTACCAATAACACGTAAAATCACACAGGAAACGGGAAACACTGGAGCGCCTTAGCTTTCGTCTTTATTCAAGACATCTTCAGATGCAACTGAATTTACAAGGACTGAGACTGAGGGAGGCTTATTTACAATGAGTGACCTTACATAACATCAGGTTGGGTCAATAACATGTGATCCACTAATCCACACACCACCTCCACTGCAAACGAAAGAAGAGCTTATAAAAAAAATGGGTGACATAACAACAGGTCAGGTAAAAAATATGAGACCCACTAATCATCTACCCTACATTCACCTCAAATGTTTTCAAAGTATTTTTAACCTTAGGCCAGTTATTATTCATTAATTAATAACCCAACACACACTACTACGACTTTGCTGTCACTCGGAATTGAGTATGAGTAGGAGTTGTAGAACTGTTGTACAAGAACAGGAGAATCGACCCAGAGGAATGTGAGTTCAGTATTGCTGGATATGACTCATTTACGAACCTAACTCAAGAATCCTGCAGGAGGGGTGTGGTTATCTACGCTAGGCAAGACCTTAGAGCCAGCCAGGCGAGGGTACAGGGAGAGGATGTCTTTGAAGAGTCCAAGTGGTGTAAAATTAAATTAAAGGGAGGGGACTTACTTATCGTCGGGTGTATCTACAGATCCCCGAACTGTGGCCCACTAAATCAAAGGAACTTAAGAACCTTAATAAACAATGCGGCGATGCTCAACCCCAGCCACCTCCTTATCATGGGGGACTTTAACTATGGCGACATCGACTGGAGAAACGAGTCAACCCCGAATGACTTGAATAATCCTGCTACTCTTTTTGTAGAAACTCTGAGAGATAATTTTCTGTTCCAACATGTGAGAGACCCGACACATTACAGAGGGGAGCAAACACCCAAGCCACTTGACCTCATCATAACAAACGAGGAGGGTATGGTGGCCAAACTGGAACACCTTGCCCCAGTTGGCACCAGTCACCATACAGTGTTGTCATTCAGATTTAACTGTTACCTAGTTCAAGATAAGGCCAGGCCAAGGTGCAAATATTACAAGGGAAATTACAATGGGATGAGGGAAGAGATGAGGGGTATCAACTGGCCTGACTTATTAAGGTACAAGAACGCAGACACTACGCTGAATATCATAACTAGTAAAATGACCCATTTGATCGATAAATATATACCCAAGACCAAACCCAGTGCTTCTAGGAATACGAGGGGATCCCTACACATGAACCATGCGGCGGTCGACAAAATTAAGAAGAAAACCCAGAAATTCAAGACGTGGGTTGGGTCAAACGATGAGCAAGACAGGAGGATGTATGCAAGAGCCAGAAACCAAGCAAAGATAGAGTGTAGGAGGGCTGAAAAGGAGTTCCAAAGGCTGGTTGCACGCGAGGTCAAGTCAAACCCAAAGGCGTTTTACCGCTATGCAAAGTCGAAATTGAAAACGCGAGTAGGAGTATCAGACCTGAGGCTTGAAGATGGTAGTTACGCAGATTCTGACCAGGATAAAGCTGAGGCATTGAACAGCTTCTTTTCCTCAGTGTTCACAAGAGAGGATGCAACTAACCTTCCTGCGTTTGAGGACAGACGGTTCGACACAGCACTGACCCACATTGTGTTCACAGAAGAGGGTATTAGAAATAAACTGTCCAGGCTAAAGGTCCATAAGAGTCCTGGACCTGACATGGTGCAT